GATGACGACGACGACGACGCCGACGACGGCCGACGACGACGGCGACGACAAGGGCGACGACGACGACGACGACGACGACGGTTGACGACGACAACGACGACGACGAAACGACGGCGACGACGAACGACGACGACGATGATGACAACGACGAACGACGAAGTCCGCGGCGACGAACGACGACGACGACGACGACGACGACGACGACGACGACGACGGCGACGACGACGAGGAACGACGACGACGACGACGACGACGACGACGGACGACGGACTACGGTCGACGGACGACGGACGTCCGACGCCGACACACGACGATGACGACGACGACGACGACGACAACGACGACGATGACGACGACGACGACGACGACGACGACGACGACGACGGACGACAGACTACGAACGACGACGACGACGACGACGACGATGACGACGATTACGACGACGACGACGACGACGACGACGACGACGACGACGACGACGACGACGACGACGACGACGGCAGCGACGACGACGACGACGACGACGACGACGACGACGACGGCGACGAATGCCACGGCCATGCCACGGCCGCGACGACGACCACCACGACGACGATGACGAGGCGGAAAAAGAAGAGGAGCAGGAGAGAAGAGAGAATAGAGGGTGTGCGCTGGCGACACATCTGGCATCCCATCTCTCCCTCCCATCCCTTCCCGTTGCGCTGGTTTTCTCTATCTACGTTCGCGTGTGATAGCCGACCGAAAACTCCATGAACCCAGCAAAGCACCATACTAGCAGCGGAGGTAATTGGTGGGACCTGTGGGGCAGGTGGGACATGTGGGACTTGTTATGTGGTCTGTGGGACCTGTGGGACCTGTGGAAAAGGTGGAAGCGGTGGGACTCGTGGAACCTCTGCGACCTGGGGACCTCTGTGGCCTGTGGGGCCTGTGAAACCTGCGAAACCTGTGGGACAAGTGGGACCTGTGGGACATGTGGATACAGTGGTACCTGCGAGACCTGCGAGACCTGTGGAACCTGTGGAACCTGTGGAACCTGAGGGACCATCGGGACCTGTGGGACCAGTGGGACCCAGGAGACCTCAGTGGGACCTGCGACACCTGTGGGACCTGTGGTGACCTGCGACACCTGTGGGACCTGACACACCTGTGGTACATGTGGGACCTGCGGGACCTGCGGGACGACTTGCGACACCTGTTGGTTATGTGGGGCCTGTGGGGCCTGTGGGACCTGTCGGGCCTGCGAGACCTGCGAGACCTGTGAGACATGCGAGGCCTGCAGGATACACAAAAGTGGCCCACGCTGAGGCGAGAGCGCCATTCTGAACGAAAGGAGCAAATCATCGATCAGAAAATGAGGCCCACGCTGCAGCGGGAGCACCACTTGGAAACACCGAAACAGGAACACAAACTATAGTTGGAAATCCTGTGCGCTAGAAAAAACCGCAGAGAGGGCGGACCCACGCCCCAGACAACTTCAGGGTAAAGAGAGAGAGTAGCATTCGTATGTGACGAACATGATAACTGCAGCGAGGAGGGAGGCAAGCTAGGCGCGTTCGCATTTGACATACTATCGCTCCCACCCATCCCTTCCCATTGCGATACCACTTCTCTCTATCCGACGAAGGTTGTCATAGCGGACCTGGAGCCTAACCCCCAAACGAACCCCATCGTCTTACGAACAGCCTGCAAAGGGAAGCCGTGCACGTCGGAGGAGGGAGTGGCGGCCGAACAGGAGAAAGAAATTAGCCTGGCGAAGGACCCAACCATATGCAGCTGCGAGTACCGCACGGATATGAGACGAAGGAGGGGGCACGCAAACGAGGCCCCTCTTCTCAGAGGCACCGCGCCACTGGGGCCTTCGGTGGAGCTCCCTATGGGGCCACGAAGCGTGTGAAGGGTGTGCCGAAATGGGTGGTGGGGAGGCATGCAGACCCTGCCACTGTGGCCTTCGGTGGAGCTCCCTATGGGGCCACGAAACGTGTGAGGGGTGTGCCGACATAGGTGGTGGGGAGGCATGCGAACGCAACCACTGGGGCCTTCGGTGGAGCTCCCTATGGGGCCACGAAACGTATGAGGGGTGTGCCGAAATGGGTGGTGGGGAGGCATGCGAACGCAGCCACTGGGGTCTTCGGTGGAGTCCCCTATGGGGCCACGAAACGTGTGAGGGGTGTGCCGACAAGGGATGGTGGGGAGGCATGCGACGCAGCCACCTGGGCCTTCCGTGGAGCTCCTATGGGCCACTAAACGTGTGAGGGGTGTGCCGAAATTGGTGTGGGGGCGGCATGCGAACGCAGCCACTGGGGCCTTCGGTGGAGCTCCCTATGGGGCCACGAAACGTGTGAGGGGTGTGCCGAAATGGGTGGTGGGGAGGCATGCGAACCCAGTCACTGGGGCCTTCGGTGGAGCTCCCTATGGGGCCACGAAACGTGTGAGGGGTGTGCCGAAATGGGTGGTGGGGAGGCATGCGAACCCTGCCACTGGGGCCTTCGGTGGAGCTTCCTATGGGGCCACGAAGCATGTGAGGGGTGTGCCGAAATGGGTGGCGGGGAGGCATGCGAACCCTGCCACTGGGGCCTTCGGTGGAGCTCCCGATGGGGCCACGAAACGTGTGAGGTGTCGAAATTGGAGGTGGGGAAGGCATGCAACGCAGCCAACTGGGCCTTCGGTGGAGCTCCCATTGGGCCGTCCACACACCTCACACGAAACGTGTGAGGGTGGAGCATGCGAACCAGCCAACTGGCCGTTCGTGGGGCTCCTATGTCCACGAAAACCGTGTGGAGGGGTGTGCCGAAATGGGTGGTGGGGAGGCATGCGAACCCTGCCACTGGGGCCTTCGGTGGAGCTCCCGATGGGGCCACGAAACGTGTGAGGGGTGTGCCGAAATGGGTGGTTGGGAGCATGCGAACGCAGCCACTGGGGCCTTCGGTGGAGCTCCCTATGGGGCCACGAAACGTGTGAGGGGTGTGCCGAAATGGGTGGTGGGGAGGCATGCGAACGCAGCCACTGGGGCCTTCGGTGGAGCTGCCTATGGGGCCACGAAACGTGTGAGGGGTGTGCCGAAATGGGTGGTGGGGAGGCATGCGAACGCAGGAGGGAGGAGGGCGAGGAGAAGGAGGAGGAGGAGGAGGAGAAGGAGAAGGAGGAACGCGGGGACCGTCTCTTCAAAACGAGGACCCAACACCACAGGATGGTTGGGAAAAAAACAGGAGGAGGAGGAGGAGGCGGATGCGGAAGGGGGAGGACGAGGAGGAGCAGCACCAGCAGGAGCAGGAGCAGGAGGAGCGGAGGGAGCAAGAGGACCAGGGGGAAGGCGGGGGGGAGAGGGTGGCGGCGGCAGCGGCGAGGAGAGGAGCACCCGGAATCCCAGAGGCGCGGCCCGCGCCCGGGGCGAGAGCGCCACTCCGGGCAGCAGGGGAGCTGCATCCGGGGAGGCTGGCCGAGGGCCGGGGCAGCCCCTCCGTCGCGGCAAGGGCCCTCGGGGGGAGAGGGGTAAATTAACTAATGAGTTCAACTAACTTCATGAAGTCCCACAGATTAATCATATTACTTCCATGAGTTGAACTCATCAAGTTCATTTGATTATTAATTTGGGGGGGGTAACCAGCCTCGAGCTCATCCCGATCCCCAAGGTTGACCCCCAAGATTGGCAGGCCGCGTCGGTCGACGCCACGCGGCGCGGCGCACGGCATCGCAGCGCAGCGCAGAGCAGCTCAGGACAGCGCCGACGCCAGGCATCATGACGCAATGCAGAGCAGGGCAGCTCCCTTGAAAGCAGTCGCAACGCGTAGCGACTAAAAAAGCAACGCAGAGCAGAACGATTCAGAGCGATGCAATACAGTGCCACGCGAAGAAAGGACTCCCGAGGACCCCTCAGGGAACCCCTGAGGACCCCCCCCCGAGAGTGCGATAGAGAGGGGGGAGAGAGATTACCACCGGCCCTCCTACCAACAAGAGTAGGACCCCCCAGGCAATTTCAATTTGGGCAGCTATCAGTAGGCCTCCTCCCCCTCATCCTGGAAGCAGTAGAGATGAAGGGAAGAAGGAGGAGGAGGAAGAGGAGGAGCGAAGGAGGAGGAGGAGGAGGAGAAGAAGGATAAGGAGGAGGAGGAGGAGGAGGAGGAGGAGGAGGAAGAGAGGGAGGAGGAGGAAGAGAGGGAGGAGGAGAAGGAGGAGGAGGAGGAGAACGAGAACGAGAAAGAGAACGAGGACGAGAACGATGACGGCGACGACGACGACGACGACGACGACGACGACGACGACGACGACGACGACGACGACGACGACGACAACAACAACGACGACGACGACGGCGAGGAGAAGGAGGAGGACGACGACGACGAGGAAGCCGCCGTATCCATCGACGTCCATGGGCATCATGGGCGGCATCCTCTGACTGCTGCTTATCATACAGAAAGGTCGATAAGGTCGTGGTACATAGGTGGTGGGAAATATCTGGCGGCGAAGTAGGGGGAGCGCCCATGGGCAAGAGTGGAGAGGACAGGAAAGTGGCTCAGGGACTGGGA